TTGAGTATTGGAGAAAAAATGGAGTGGCCCCCCCGAACTGGAGTTTCACCCTTTAATGGGTATAGTGTGACTTGACAGCATGCCAGTCATCACGCTAGTACGCCGCACATCAAACGTTATTCATATGGACTATTGGCGCGTAACTGCAGTTACTATGAATCTATGGTAAGTCACCAACAACGAACAAAATCAGGCGCTTCGGTTACGGTAGCCGCGCGTCGGACGCAATTCACATCACTTATGATAACGGTCGAGGAATTCCTCGACCATGGCTCTCTACCGTGCGAGAGTAGTGTCGAGAGTGAATGAATGCGCGGAGAGCACAGACGGCTCGCAGCTGGCGAGAGTGAGCATCCGCGTGGGAGAGCGTGAAAGAATCCTCGACAAGCCATTGTCTTTCCCTCAAAGCCGCTATGGTGAGTATATTTTTGAGTAATTCCACGTGCGATCGAATAAGAAGTCAAGCAAAAACGTCAAACGAACTCAGGACCATTCCTTACATCCTAATACGTCGTCCATCCTTCATTTCTCCTGAAGGAGTAGCGCTATTTTTAGTTGTTGTTGAATTCCTGGGGTCTGGCACAAGTTATTACGTCCTAATATGCATTTATTGGTCCGCACTCTTACGTTACGCCACCTACATTAACTGCTTGCAACGCGTTGCGAGGCAAGAAGCAATAACAATTGCTCATTCCATTTGTTGAGTTCAGTCTTAGGTTTTGAGTGTGAACTTAAAATTCCAAAATTTTCGGTCCCGCATGCCAAAGGTTAAACACATCATCTTGTCTCGAATAGCAATTTAATGCTAATCGATGTCTACTGGTGTTGTATGTTACTTCATCACTAACTAGAGTTTCAGCCGCCCTTTTACTCAGTAGTTGTACGGGGGTGAGAAAACTCGTTTTCTGCTCCCACTCTAAAAGCGATTATTTCGTTGCCAAGTTGGCCGCTTTGGGCGTTCAATTAGAAGCAATATATATCTCCGAATTTCTAGAGTACGAAAGCTAAGCACGCCTTCATTGCGCATGACCGTCTTCAGTATATGTAGGCCATTTATCGAGATCGTCGCCAAACTGATCCCGGAATGTATTGGTGGCGAAAGGGCCGGCAGTAAGAAAAAAGAAAAAAATCCGGTTAAGGGCTCACTCACCTTCCTAATCGGCTGTGCTAAGGGAATGAGAGACTAAGCGCGGAGAGGAGAGTATGAGGCGAGAGAGCGCTACAGATGAGAGAGCGCCAGACAACAGCCTGATAAGAGAAAAAAATCTGCAGCTTGGGCAGCTTACTTTGCAAGGCCCAAGCGCTCTTGTCGGTTGGTTTCCGTGCACGAGAACGCCACATTTGTGATTGTCCTCTAGGGGTCTATACTACAGACCGAAGGAAGCGTTCACACGATCTCTGCCTGGGTTGTGCCTTTGGATAATTTTCCAGAGACATTAGCTGTGACTATGCAAACTCCCTTGGGCGATGTCAGACTTGGCGAATCAAGCGAATCACGGGATACGAGCGTTGCACCAGTGAATCGAGCGATGTACCAGCGGATCGAATGATGTGCCAACGACTCGACATTGTTATGTGGCGAGAGTCAATATGCAATCAAGTGGAGGTCTCGCCTTTCCAAACAGTTGAGTCGCTGGCACACAGCTCGATTCGCTGGTGCAACGCTCGTATCCAGCGATTCGCTAGCGAACCGCTGGATTCGCATAGTCTAACATCGGCCTTGTGCTGTGCAGAAAACGTGGCAGTGGTATACGACCAGTCAAAAATCCCGTTGAGTTCGACCAGTGCACCGCGTTTCCGTAGCAGATTTTTCTGATGGCATCCACGTAGAAGGTCACTTTGAAGTTCTTTTTCCATGAAACGAAAGGTGCCCTTCAATTTTAAAGGAGGATTTCACGATTAGAATGGAGGTCGAGGAAGAAGTAATTCACCTAGTTGAGGGACCCACGGACCTCCTGAGGGTGCGAACTGATGCGCAATTCGCATCGAAAAATTTGACCTCGGCGACCTATTATGCCTCAAAGCTTGGCGGGTCTGGCGATCTCCGCCCACCGACCATCTGATCACTCGCCGCAGTCTATACGTGGCGAGTGATTAGATAGCAGAGAGAGCGTAGTGTTGAAGAGGGCACAGCGATGAGAGTCGCATCAATGCTCAAATCAACGGGCAAGGAAGGGGTCCCATTTCTCGGGTTCTGGGCCGTTTCTCATGGTTCTTCCTTCTTTCGTGTACCACTCACCATCCCTAGGTTAATTTGAAATGGGTTGCTTTTTCATCGTGAATTCGTCCTTTAAGTTGAGAGTATTCGGTTTGAATCGAGCAAAGTGTTTTAGGATTGTTCGGTCTCGACCTAAGCTTTTGCAAATTCTTTTGTAGAAAGTTTTGAGTCTTTTGCAATAAATTTCGAGGTCTCACATCGAGCAAAGTGTGTTTAGATTCATTTGAATAAGGAGACAAAATGTCTTTTTTATTGTCCCCCCACCCCTTTGTATTATGCCATACACTTTAAAGGCACAACTCAGGCACGGATTTGCGGGGTAAGAGCGATCGATAACGGATGTGAGTGTGCATTGTTGAATGGAAATGGAAGAAACAGCGAAAAAAACCCGCGATGAAGCCTAAACAGGAACCTCCACTCTTCCAGTAACATCTCGCCTAGCCTTCAAGGGGAGGTGCAACCGGACGAGTTTTCCGAACTTGATATTAACACTTTGCTAGATTCATTTCATTGCTAGACTCATTTCATGCACACTCGCCTCGCAGCTGCGGCGAACCCCACAGCTGCGGACAAGTCGGCCCGTGCATCTCGTGCAGCTTGGCTTAGAAGACCCTAGCGCCTTTTTCGGGCGCTTTCGTTGCACGGGACTGTTACGTTCGTGATTGTCTGCTGGGGCACTACCTCACAGGACGAAGAGGACCGCTCACACGGATTCTGCCTGGGGTATCGCTTTAAAGGAATCCTTCACGGAAAAATCATGATTCTATTTCAGCCATAAATCACTGGCTTGAGACTCATTATCCACGATAAGAATGAAAAGAACAGAAATATTGCTTTTGTTTTGGTTAAAATTCGAAAAATCGAAAGGGCTGCTACGCGCCCACGGACGTCTTTCACAAATGCTGGCGACGGGGATGCTTTGGTTCTTGGAGTGCCTTCACTAGAAACTCTTTCTGGCCTTGCATTCACATCTTACACTTCTACTCCATCCTATTCTATCGATCGATTTGTCTCTACTCTCCGAAATCGCGCGCTTTAACCCGATTCTTTCATTGCGTCGCCTGATACGTAGCCGGCCAAAGCCAACTTCTTTCCATGCCTCGCCTTTGGCTCCGCCCGAATTACCTTCGATTGTCCATAGAGTGTATTTTTGTACGTTTGTTTCTCTTCGGAAACCGAATCTTCATGCGTGAAACTTTGTGTGCTGTTTCCAGTGATCACAACTGACACATTCATGTCAAGAAAGAATGCAAGAATTTTCCGCGAAGGATTCCTTTAACTAGTCATGCAGTTTCAGTGTAATCTACAGTTGACCAAAGAGCATACCTTGATCGCATCGCATGTCATAAAATCTGTAGGTACGCTTTAGACTACTGCCGTTAGAATAGCCACAAAACTCGTCCTGCTATGCTCTGATAAAATATCCTTGAATTACGCCATTTACCAAAAATTATGAGGTGGACTGAACAGGGCGCATTTACCTCTAGGGGAACATGAAAACAGGGCACTCAATACCGTGAACTACGACTCGCCCAGGAGAGGAGAAAGACGTCAAGGAGAGAAGAAATTGCTCACACACCTCCAGAATCTCCTCAGTGGCTCTCTCACTTGAATTCCCCTTCTCCCCCCCCCCCTCCTACCCTCCCACAACGACATGGCACTTCGGAAGGTTTTGGCTGACGTTACCTTCTTCCGACTGCCTGATTAAAGGCAGCGATTACGATACGTTCAAGAAGGGTTCATTGGAGACGTGGTGGTGCTCAATGGTACGCCAGTGGCGAAAAAAGCGGAGAAATCCCAAAAGAAAACGCAAAATGGGACCCCTTTTTGGCCGTTGGTTTTCACTCATGAACAGGTAACAGCTCAGAAAGCGGACGTATGAACGAGTTCAGCGCAACGCGTTTGGTAACACCATGCCAAACCACACTCCAATCGAGTTGCTCCAGTTGTGCCGCTGCTGGCAACGCAGCTCCAAATCACCAACTAAACTAGTGGGCGGATCGCTTTTGGGGGCGGAGTGCTTTCGAAGTCCTGCTCAGCAACCAGCGCACCTTTCGTCGTGAAAGCGCTACACTCGCTTCCCTGGCAGCCAAGTAACTGATTCGTGTGGTGCATATGCTTCCCCGATGCGCTCCCACCTTATCGTAATCGCTGCCTTTAATATCAATTTCCAACAACGTTGTAATTGTGGAATTGTGGAGAAAGGCAAGATTCAGGACAAGGTGAAACACCTTGTCCTGACGCTTGCCTTTCTCCACAATTCCACAATTATGGTGAATATGTCATGTCCTACTTCATGGGAATCATGGCATCTGAACCTTGAGAGTGTCAATTTTATCCTACACACATCAAGCACCACAAACAACATGTGAAAATAACAATATGAAATTGACCAAGGGACCTCTATTTACAAGATAGTAGTAATATAGACTTTGATGCACTTGGTGATATTAATGACGAGAACGGGACGCTACTCGGTGTTTAATTACTGACTTGTCGAGTCATTGTGAAAGGTGCTACAGTTGAGAATCTGAGACCACATATCAATTAGCAATACATAGAGTTACAATAATAAGTTAAGGGAAGCTTTGTTATAATGACAGAGCTAATACAATTGTCAGTCAAGCCAACCTATAATGTTCCGTATGAGCAATGAAAAGTGCACTTAATGATAAAAGGCTACATCATAGAACTCTGTCGCACATAATAATTAATAAATGACACAACTTTTGATTCATCAAAAAACAAAAACTTTTAGGAACACTTTAAATGACAGCGAAGCTTAAACTCGCAAAATTTCTAGTCGATTCGCATAGCAAATTGAAATCCAGTCGGGGAACGCCGTTGACCAGTGTATTTGATTGACCTGAAACATTACCAATGCACTGTGGGTAAATGTGCCACGCCTCGTTAATCTTAAAAACCTTCTCAATCACCCTAAAATAATCAAATTGATTTCCACTACTAACGGTATTTCAAAAACGTATCATTAGGGAGTTGCTTCTACAACTTAGCCATAGGCTCAATTTCCTGGAACTACCAATTACCAGCTTATCTGCATCCAAAGAAGGTAGGCTTTGCACTTGTTGAATTGAAGAAAGACTCGCTCCGTTGAACCACCTTAGTGAGAAAGAGGGCATTTTTTTTTCAAACGCAGCGCCAGCGCCAAAAATGAATATTACTTCCGGCGGGCCAATTTGACACCACAAATGTTCTTACCAAATTCGCTGAAAACTGGCGTACAGGTATTACTCCATGTCCTGATTCGAAGAATACTTTTCATTTTCAGCGCTATCACTGTACGTCCCCCCTGCACCTTGCGTTTGAGTCTAAACCATCAAAGCAAAGACTGTGAAAATGATTATGGGTGTGACGTCAATGATAAGTCTAATAAGGAGATTCATCCTGGCGCCCTCCTTCCCTCCCCAGAAGACAGAGGGCTCCAGGATGAGTTGCTGTTGTTGCTCCTCCTGGGAAGAAGCTACCAGGATGGGCGACCACTTGGGCATTCTGACGAACAAAGTTCCGAAATCGGTTCTAGTACAGCTCGGACGTAAAAATAATCATGGGTGTGAACTCCACGCTAAGTCGAATTAGGAAAACCTGTCTCTGGTGGACGGGAAGTTTCCAAATGGGTAAAGCTTAATTTAAAAAATGACCCGAATAAGAGGAAACCACAGAGCAAAAATAAGGTGCTTGACAGCAATATATAAGCCGTTCCTGGCATACCTGAACCCAAGTAGACGGGCGTGTTCTTAATAAGTGGGCAGTGTTTATTACAACACCCATGACTCGGTTTAGAGTCCCGAAACCGGCAAAAAAGTGGCAGAGGTTCGAGGAAGGAATCAAACGTGATAATGGTTGGCTTGGCGTGCACGTAAGGTGCAAAGTTTGGCATCAAAATTACAATTCGGTTCCAGGGTAACTCGCTTCAGAAGCGGTTCAAAGATCTGACAAAAAGTGGATATGGGC